GACGGATCCTATCATGTAGATTATTTAGTTTTAAAAAAATCATCGTCATTGGGGCTTGGTATTCGAAGCTTCCATCAGACATCAAAGAGATGTTCCAGTTTAATTCTCACGCTGTGATCTGTGAGTTCAGAAATAGCATGTTGTTCATAACAATATGTGAAAACGAGACTCTCAGATCTGCCCAGCGTTGTGGTCTCTGCGTGCTCGTTTGCACCGTCAGACTTACCTTGCTAAGTGGTGTGGTTTCAAGAAGGTAGATGAATGGAGGGGGTGGGAGGTGGGAGAGAGAGGCTGAGCAAAGCTAATGGAAAAAATGGAAGATAAAAAAATTATGCTAGTGTTTATGTGAAGGGTAGTACAAACCAAGGGGACATGTTTTTGCGCAGATTACTGGAGCAGTCATTGTAGGGGTACATTTTTAAAGATCTGTTCAATTTGAGGTCTTGATTGGACTGAGGTCAAGTAAGAGAGTTTTCAGTAGAAATGAAACCTTGACTACATCAGGCTGTAAAAGATGCAGTTCAGGGGTGTTCTAGTGATTTTTTTTTTTAAGCCTGGTCAAGTCTCAAACCCAGAACCGACCTCCTTTACATTCCTTCTCCCAAGGCTGAATGAGGTGCCCTGGGGCGAACTCCCCTGTCATCCTGTATTTAACCTGCAATACGTGTACCAACCACATTGCTGTAAAACTGGTCTTTCTGAAATCAGGCAACCAATGGGTCCAGGCTGCCTGTCACCACCTGAGCCAATTAAGCAGAGACAGGGTTGAGTCATAATATACAAAGTATGAGTGTTTATTCCAATAATGCCAGCAGGTCATCCACAAAAATCTGCTCTACCCTTCCCCATAAGCCAGCTGCTTATATTGGGTAGAAGGACAATGATTACATGGGAAAGTAGGAATTACAGGCATGGGAAAGTAGGCAAGGTATAAAGGTTACAGATTACAGGCAATGTGGGTTGGAGAGGGGCGGGGTCGCAGAGGGCGGGTGCCTCGGGGGACCGAATTGTTTCAGCAACAAAGTTGTTAATCCAGGCAGTTCTCAGAAAAGGGGGATGGACCTCATTCCGAGGTTAGCTCCCATGTCCCAGGGTGTACAACTCTCAGCCCGGTTACAATGTGCTTTCTCTATTCAGAACGGAACCATCATGATGGATATTTCTTATCATTATAGCTTGTCCCCAATATTCTATTTCTTTCCCTAACATTTCTGATGATCTCCTTTCTCTGTTCATATTCTGTGGGGACTGAGAGGAAAACCTTATCCTGGCTTATCCCCAATACCCACCAAACACATGTCTGTCAGTAGTTTTCAGTCAATATCTGTTGATTAAATGAATGAGTGATTGGATAATTGTTTATGTGCAGAATGCAAATGACATAGTAAAACACTTTCCCCAGTGATCCATCAGCTTTACGGAGATCTGATGCCTGTCAAATGGCTTTATATCACCTTCAAAATGGGCAAGATATTAACATATAGTTAGATGAAGTAAAAATTTAAAAACATCAGTCTTGATATTACCGCTGTAAAATATATAGTGTGTATGTTTCGAAAACAAGATCTACACCTATTTATGATTTGGAGAGTGCTCCTATTTGAGCAATATGTTAGTGTTTTAAAAATAATAATACATGGGAACGTCCTGAGTCATCACTTGAATTGAATATAAATCCCATCTAATCTGGATGGTAACATGCCCCTCACCTCCATGCATGAATAACAGAGAAGGCCTTTAAAAATTATCCTTATACTAGAGGCCCGATGCATGAAATTTGAGCATGGGTAGGGTACCTAGGCCTGACCGGCAATCAGGGCCGATCTCTGGGGCAACAGACAGAGCAACCAGGGGGCCCCTGCTGGCACCTGCCTTGGCCAGCTTGGTGCTGCCTGCTCGCTGGCCCCGCCCCCCACTGCCGCCTGTCACCTCCCTCTGCGGGGAGACCAGTGGGGCAATGGGGGGGACCCCCACTGGCACCTGCCTTGGCTGGTGGTCAGTGCACATCATAGTGACCAATCGTTCCACCAGTCATTCCGCTGTTTGGCTGATTTGCATATTAGGCTTTTATTATATAGGATGCTTTATGTTTGTTAGCTTGCTGCCATGAATTTGATTTTCATGTGATTTCAACTTTTTAAGTCAAGTAAGATTTTTGATACAAACACAACTTTAAAACACTGCACCGTGCTTTTCAGAGGTAGGTAGCAAAGGGTAATTCACGTCTGCGATCCTTACATGTACTTCTTGGACAGCATATGAGGAAAGAGAGAATCCCAGGGCGGACGACTGTGAATTGTCATGGGATTTCCCCTGTCCTTTGGGAATTTGTTAGGTTTCCCACTCTCCCTCCTATTTTCACTTTGTTTATTTGGAAGAGGTGGCAACAGACAGGGAGGCAAGTGAGGTTTCTCCTCTCAGGTTGGGTTGCTCACCTACGTGTGAGGTGGTTTTCCCACATTCCTTTTTAAAAGCAAGGATTTCATTCTGGGAGCCCACACCTGTGATCTTCCCTGGTAATGCTGGAGTGTGGAGGAAGGGGGGCGTGCCACCCTGAGAAGTGCTGGCGGGGAATGCAGACCGGTAGCAGCAGCAGCAATCACAACAACCTTTAGCAACCACCTGGTTAGGAGTCCCTCTTCTACCCTTAAAACTGAATCCGACTCCTGTAGCTCTTCTTGTCTCCTATTTCAATGATGTTTCTTTGAAAACCATGATAGAGTGACAGAATGGATTTGGACACTACTAATTTAATATCTCTCAAGGTATGCTCAAGTTGGGATCAGAAAGTGTATGATGATGAAAGGAGATTTGATTTTGGGTGGTGGGCATACAATACAATATACAGATGACGGATCATTGCATTGTACACTTGAAACCTATATAATTTTATTAACCAGTACACCCCAATAAATTTAAAAATAAATAAAGAGATCCTGTGTTTTATTATACAAAAATTTGGAATGAGGCTTTCTATATCTTATGACATTTTATAGTTTATCTTTAAGTTGGATAAAGTTAGCAAGGCCTCCTCCAGACCCCCAAAAAGCGGGTGCGTACACACACACACACACACACACACACACAGTGCTCTTCCACATTCTATTTAGTATCTTAGCCCAGGTGGTTCCTTACGTGTGGATGATGCTACCATCTTCTCAGCCTGGCAAATTTCTACCGAACTTTTAAGACCCTGCACAATAGCACTTCCTCTTTTAATCCTGCCTTTGCCCTATCATCCTTTAATCTCCTTTTTTGAATTCTGCATTGTCATAGATTCTTATGAAACCTCTATCGTGGCATTTACTACACTGTGTTGTGTGGATTTTTTAAAATGAATGTGAGCACATGTACCCCATCATGTGTGGATTTTTTAAAAAGTATGAATAGACCATCAAATCAAAATACTGTTTCTTTAATGGCATTATTGCTAAATATAAGAATAGGGATGTGTGTGTTCCATATAGCTTTAAAACCATGAAAATGTGTTAATACGAGGCTACCTAATAATGTAGAAAAACGATAAGCATTGGCTGGGGGCGGGGGGAGAATCTTTCTTGTTTGTAAAACTCTACCAACTGTTAATGACTTAATACAACCAGTGATAGAACCTAGTCTGAAAACTATGCAAAGACATGGTCAGTGTTGTAGCCATAGAGTTTACTAGTATATTGAAATTTGCATTTGCTTGGCTCCATTTAAGAACATTACCTTTGTATCTCAGTTCATTTATTAGATTGATTCAGAATCAACTTGTAGTGTTAGGGTAATTTGAAAAACTCCCTTTGCTGAGATTTTATGGTTGAAATGACTTGATTTCATGACACCGATGGATACAGGTCATTCACTCTCTAGGAAGAGGGGCCCAGGGGGGCAGCAATCTTGTTGGAAGAGAAAGCCTGTAGCTGCGTTTTGGTATCTGTTCTTGGGACTGGGAAGCATCAATTCTTTGTAAAGGAGGCAGGAAAGTCGTGAGAGGAGGGTGCTAATGAAGATTAAGAGCAGTAGCTTGATGCTGCTTTTCCTGCCATGAGTGTGAGGAGGTGAGGGCCTGTATTACGGTGGGATGGATAGAGATGAATGAATGGGTAGATGGTCAAAAGGAAACATCCGTAAGACTGGAGTAAGTCATCTACAATGACAGGTTACGGATAATGAAAGAGTAAAATAAATAAAAATAAGCAAGCTGAGCAGAGCAAACCCTGAGAATTTGGGCCATGACCTTGGATGGGGTGAGGGAAGGTAAATTCACTTAATCAGGGGATTATCTCCTTTGTGGTTCATCAGAGATCAAATGAAGACACAAGACTCTGAAAGAGATAGACAGCTGCTTTGTTTTCTTCACATTTCTACATTGCTCAATCCTTAAAACATTCAGCTAGCTAAGCAGAAAATGGACAAAAGTAAATTGCAGTCCTGCCCTCCTCTCCTTCCTTCATTCTACAAAACAGTGTCACCTCCGGTCAAATAAAATGCTGAATTATTTGGAGAACCCACCAGGAATGTGTAAACTAGTCCATGGTCCAGCCTAGGGAGGAAGCCACCTCCTCCTGGCAAAATCTGAGAAGCTGAGGTCAGGCCTGCAGGGCAGGATGGAGAAGAACTTTCTCCAGCCGCCCAAATGATGTGCATCTCATGAACATGCTTTCCTTCCTCTGAAGGCTTCTGATATTCCAGAACATTAGCAAACGCGCTTGCCTGTGTCTGCCAAGTGATAGTGCTCAGATATTTATTTGAATAAATAAATATGTATCTATATTTTTATCTCCTTAAGGAGTTCAGCCACGTGTGGTGTAGGGTCCATGCCTTCTGCTCTTGCTTGCTGAGCAGGGATCAGGTAGGATGGTCCATGTTGCATTGCGTTCTGCAGGGCTCAGTGCCACCCCCAGCACAGTGAGGCCGTGCAGGGATTCTGGTACATTCCTTGTCCCACAGCACAGCAAGACTCCCAGACATGGGCTTTGTCTCACTCATTCTGATCTAGCTTTTGCTTCTTGCAGGTGCGCACATCTCGACCAACTCAGCAGGAGGGCGGATTTTCTTCGTGTTTAAAGAGAAGAAAAATGTCCCCGTGTCTGTAGAGATGATTTGCAGTTCAGCCCGGCTGAAGCTGAGCGAATGAGACTATGGGCTGTGCCTCCGCCAAGCATGTTGCCACTGTTCAAAATGAAGAGGAAGCCCAGAAAGGGAAAAACTACCAGAACGGAGATGTGTTTGGCGGTGAGTGCCCTTGAACTTTAGTCTTGACCTGTTGATCCAGGCCTTTCACTTTCAAGGGAGTGAATCCTTGTAGTGTTACGATGTTATACCATTTGGGGGGGTGTTGGGGAAGGGCTGAGATGTGAGAGAAATCAATGCAGATTTCATACATTGGACAATTTTCATTATAACTTATACATAGGGGGCTTCGAGGAGGACCATGGGAGTTTTATGCCAAAGCTAGCATTTAAATCAAGTTTTCAATAGGACATAAATAGGTGTGTGGGACAGCATCCACAGGGTGTCCTGGTAGAATGATAAGCCTGAAAACAGGTCCAAAAGTGAAGAGAGTGAGGATTAATAAATGAGAGTGAAGAGAGTGAGGATTAATAAATGAGAGAGTGAAGCATTTGGGGGGGGGGTTGTTAATAGACAGTTATTCATGTGAATGATAACATTTCTGAGTCACAAATACAAATACAATGAATTGAATAATCATTTTTTAGCCTTTCTATGATATCTCAAGGTGACTGTAGAATATCTAGTGAGAAGGTCACAAACTGCCGACTTATGGCCACATCTGGCCTGCAAATATAGTGTTCCCCTCAAAAATGTATACACATGCTTTGAATAATTATAAAGACAGTGTTTATTAAAATAGATTTCATTTTCAAAATTGAGCTGTGACCTGTTAAAGTGTGTGGATGGCGGGGTGGGTAGCGGTTTCCCCTGCATCAGGCTGTCACCTCCAGTGAACCACTAAGCCTCCCTGGTGGTCAGTTCACTCACTGCCCATGGACTTTGCCTGCCCGGCCACTTCTAGGCTTTTGAGTTCACCTAACCTTAAGTTTGTTCCTTGGAAGATCAAGTATCGCTCTGATGAAGTATTATCTGTGTGTTAGTACAAAATTCCAGTTAGTACAAGGCAGCTGCAGCAGTTTTTGTTGAGTTACTTGATCAGTAATACGCACTAGTTGGCATTTACACGGCACTTGTATTCATAAAAGCACCTCTTGATCTCATGTTTGATCAAGAACCTCGTTGAAATAATGTTTCCATGCAATCAGCTGAAGTTGCACTATGCAGTCATTGTCACACAATTCTACTGCCTTTAGAGCCTCTAGGCTTTGATCCAGGGTAATGGCTGGTTCAGTCCCTTGGTGACGAGTTGGGAATGCTATGGAAGGCCCAATGCTCTGCTTGTGGTGGACGGGTATACATGGGGAGGAGGATTTTGTTTCTTTAAGAAGAAGTACTAGCCCGGCAAGTTTGGGTCAGTGGTTGAGCATTGACCTGTGAACCAGGAGGTCACGGTTCAATTCCCAGTCAGGGTACATGTCCAGGTTGTGGGCTCGATTCCCAGTGTGGGGCATGCAGGAGGCAGCCGATCGATGATTGATGCTCTCTCTCATCATTGATGTTTCTGTCTCTCTCTCCCTCTCCCTTCCTCTCTGGAATCAATAACAAATATAAAAATTAAAAAGATAAAAAGAAGTACTAGTTTCCTGGAACAAGTTTGTTTCTAGTGTTGACTACATAGGCTTTCGAGCTATGGAGAACAGGAACATATCATCTTAATAAAACTAGAATCTAGATCATTGAAACCACAGTTTCTGGGAAAATGGCTCATTGGAACCTAAACATCCATTTGCTAACTTAGTTACAACTTTTATAGCCGAGAAGACTTTCTATTGTCCGAAAGTACCATTTGTATTTTGCAAGTGTTAGTATTTAATAAAGGAGCCTCGTGTTGGGCAATTGTTGCCTCCGGATCTCAGCGGCATTCAACAGTGAGCACGTCTTTCTCAATCACGAGTTGGTGGGTCAGCTGGAGTGGCTCTGCCCCCTGGGACCAGGGAGCCAAGGGGGCATGCCCTCCTTTTGCAAAGGGCAAATGCGCAAGCGATACATAGGGTGCCTCTTAAGCTTGGCTTAGAGCTGGCACGCTGGCACTGGTACCAACATTCAAGTCAAGTGAACAGTTTCAGAGACAAGAGACAGAGAAGTACATCCAACCACAGTGCATTCATGGCAAGGGTGCGGATGTAGAGAAGGGTCAAAAATTGAGGCTATAATCCAGTCCAGCCCGAGCCTGCCCAGTCTGTGTGGCTCCATGCCGTCCATGCCCATGCCATACAGTGCAGCTGCGGCCTCTAACTTTTCTTTATCCTCCTAATACTCATATTGAAGTTTTATTCACTCCTGCATTTGTCATCTCGTTATTCTCTCTAGTAAACATTTGCAGGAATACAAGGAGGGAGAGAGCTCCCTAAACCAATCAAGGGACATTTTTTCTTGTCCTACAAGGGCGTGGGGGGAGAATTGTCAGAGTCCAGTGCTGCACATCAGTGCCAGTGCCCTGGATACTACTGAATGGCTGTGCTTGAACATCACAAGAGCAGGTCCTATCTGTGTTTCTCCATTGAAATTTGTTTGCAAGCAGTGGAAGTGTACAATACCCAATATGATCACAGGTGAATGATAGATCTGGATGGACCACTTTTAACCATTTGATATCTTTTTTTCTTAAAATGTATTTTTATTAATTTCAGAGAGGAAGGCTGAGGGAGTGAGAGAGAGAAACATCAGTGTTGAGAGAGAATCATTGATCGGCGCCTCCTACAAGCCCCTACTGGGGATCGAGCCCGCAACCCGGGCACATGCCCTGACTGGGAATCGAATTGTGGCCTCCTGGTTCATGGGTCAATGCTCAATCACTGAACCACACCAGCCATGCCCGTTTGATATCTTTTGTCACCCATTGTTTCAGTGTAACAAAGTACCCCAAACTTAGTGGCTTGAAGCGGCACATGATTCTATGGGGTAGCTGAGTTTCATCTGCTGTTTTTGCCTGAGCTCAGTCATGCAGGTGCATCCAGCTAGGAATGCAACTCGGCTCAACGGACCAACTGGGCTCTAGGCCTCCCTGTCCCCTAGACCTCTTTCTGGCTGGGTAGTCCAACTTTTCACATGGGTGTGTGCTTCTAAGAGATAAAGTAGAAGCTGTCAGCCTAATGCCTGAGCCTGAAGGTCCAAGAATGTCACTGTTGGCACCAGTCACAAGACCCAGCCAGCTTCAGGGGAGCCCAGAGGTTCTCCATCTCCTGGGTCTGTGCCACAGGGTGGGGAGGAATTGTTGGCCGTCCTTGGAGACTGGTCCCCACACCCATTAAGGGAGGCAACGAGAAGTCCATGACCAGATTATATTCCAACCTGGACAGTTATATTCTGCTTTGTACATCACGCATCCTTTTTTTAATGAATAAAGTAGCCTCATTCACTTTTTAAAAGCTAAATGTTTGAAAATGTTATTACCATGTGTTGCTGACGTGTTGACAAAGTCTGTGAAGCATGGTGTATTTGGGGCCGGCTCTGGAGTATGTGTGCGCACACACATTCGATCCTTTTCCTAAAGGTGTTAATTTAATTTTGTAGCTCCCAAGGACATGCTGGGGAGCATTGATCAAGCAATGTGTTTTGACAGATGGTAATTTCTGTTTTTAAGAAGCAGTTTGATCTCTGTGATATTTTGGTTTATTTGGGAGACTGACCACTCCAGAAGTGTGAGACAGAGTTTATGTAGACTATGCCACCATTAAGGATTGAGTGAGAAATGGGCATCTTGATTTCTAGATTTCATAGAATTCAGGTCATCGACGCGGAAATTTACCACTGACATTTACCCAGAGACTTTCTGTCACTTTAAATATCAAAGCATAGCAAGTTTCGGATCTAGAGTTGTGCCTTACATACTGTGGCCCTTTCAGAAGTAAAATCCAGGCCAGAAGCTCATCTCCAGATGGGAATTCCCTTCCCTCATTGGTCAGGGCAGATGTGAAGAACGGCCTGCAGATCTGTGAGGTCATTCAGAGGACAGCTGAGCAGACTGCCAAGACCAGCTTGCATAAAATAAGTGACCAGCAGGTTCACGTTATCATAAACGAGTTAAGCAACTTCTAAGGAAAGCCAGGTGCTTACTGGATCTCTTTCAGCCGTCATCCACTTAGTCTATTAAAGTGGGTGCATAGAACAGGTTCGGGAAATGAATATATCAAACCTGAGATCACTATCTCTTCCGAGCTCCTCCCGACGGGGGGAAAACTCGTTAGTTCTGTTGACTTTCCTATTTGCATGAGGGTCACCAGTCCAGAAAAGGCTTTCAACCTGAGGACGTTGTCCCTTCCAGTTCCCAGGTCCTATGAATCTCAGCTTTCTCAGCATCAGTTTTCCTGCCACCACCAGAATTTAGGTTGGGGTAGCCTGTACCCCAGAATAGTGCAGTGTCCTCTCGCCTGATCTCCATGAACCCCCTTTATTGTGTATTTGTTCTTTGCTTGTTTTTAAATGTCCATTTCTTGCACTACGTCAGGTTGTGTTCGATTTTCAAAAGTACACCTGTGTCGTGTCAGTGCTCCTGCTCTAGAACTTTCTATTGCCCCTACTTCTCAGCTGGTGAAATCCTAAATCCTCAGTGAACATGGAAATGGCTCACGCCTACCTTTGCAGCCTCGTTTCATACTCTTTCCGTCATGTTCCTTGTCCTCCAGCCAGACTGACAGCTCACCTGCGTCCTCATCGCACACTCCCTGTCCTCCAGGCCCCCCGCTGCACCATCACCTCTGCTTGGCCTGGTCCCTTGCTCCTGCCTTCAGCTCCTTAAGTCCTGCTCTTTTCCCGAACTTCACCTAAACGTGCATGAAGCTTTCCTAACACCTTCACAAAGTTCTCTCCTTCCTACTGTACTTACACACTTGGTTTATTTGTTTATATGTCTGATCTTCCATTGTGTGTTTATATGTGTCATCTCTGTTAGGAGCTGGTGAGTCCCCCGAAGGCAGGGACTGTATGGTCCTGCGAGGACACAGGGTTCCCAGGATGCCAGGAGCTGGAGGCAGAGCGATCAGGTTGGGCCCTGACCATGTCAGTTCCCCCGTGTGACCAGGTGGCCTTGATTGGTGCTGAGTTTGGCTTAAGGACCAAGAGAGTCTAATGTTTATAAGTACTCCCCGAAGTGGAAGTGC